TAGACCATCAGAGAGCTAGCAGATTTATAACTTGCTCTATTTAGGAATACTGAGGGATTTTTTGGTTTGCAAGCAGCAAAATCTACTATTGCTAAACAGTCTCTAGGTATACATATTTTTGCAAAGTATCTGTACATGCATAACACTTTAATATCTTCTGATTATCATTTTCTTCTTGAAAATAGTTGAATGTGAATCCAATTTGGTGATTCCACCCCTGAGTTATAGAGTTTTGTTGTTAAAGTTTTGGACCTCACTTATTCTTCCTCTAGATGTGAGCAAAACTGAAGTACATATAGTCAAGTACAAACAAAGAGAAGAAATCAACTTTCAACACTCAGAATGAACTCCCTTGTGTATAAAATGCACAATAAGAGGTTGAGAGATAGGAGGTTGAGGAACAAGGGGTTGAAGGATGATGAGGACCCATTGGTGCGTGATGATGTAGCATTTGATAATGAGTGGTTCATAGATGATGAGATAAATTTACCATTATCAGTCCTGCAACTAGAGGATCTAAGTGTGAACATCTTGAGGAGCGAAGCAGATCAAGTGGGCACATCCACTAGTACCACACCACACACATCCACTAGTTCTGCAGCACAACAAGCAACTAAAGCTATTCAATAACTTCTTATGAGCTATTACATTATATATATATATATATAAAGTGGGCAATTAACATAACAATAATCATTCTTATTGAACAAGGAAGAGAAAAGTGAGTAACATTGAAGATGATGAAGATATGGCATTCATATATACAATTGAAGAAGAAGATTCTCTTGAAAACTCATTTAGTGATGGGACATGATTTAATTTAATATGTTTTTTCTTATTTGTACTTTGGGAGTTTTGATATACTTATATTTTGTGGTTCTATAGTTTGAATTATACTATGCGATGTATATATTGCATCTATTTTATTATTTTCCACTAATTTCACTTGTCATTTAAATGTTTTTATTGTATGATAGAATTTTACTGTTATTTACCTGCTAAAACTCTTAAATTCTCATTTATGCAATTCTTCATCCGTGAGGCTTACGCCTCACACCGCCTCGAGGCTTACGTCTCGCCTCACGGATAAAAAATGCCTCGAGATTTATTTACGTAATTTTAAACCTTGACATCCATAATTCAAGTTTTCCTTCAACTCCCTCTCTAGTTTGATCAACAAGAAGAATATCATCAGCAAAAAGCGTACACCAAGGTACAACTTCTTGCAAATATCTAGTGAGAATTAGGGGTGTAAACGAGTCGAGTTTTGACACTATCGAGCTTAGCTCGTCAGCCGGAAAGCGAACTCGAGCTCGAGTCGAGCTTGAAAGGCGAGCTCGTCCCACTGTTATCGAGTTCGAGCCGGCTCGCGAGCCTCGGCGGTCTGGGCAACCTTCAAGCGAGTCCTCCTCATACGCGTCATCCACGTCGAGCTTGCCATCCAAGAAGACGTTGAAAATAAAATATATTTTTTTCATATGGGGAGAAGAGAAGAGCTTATATAATTAATGAGATTTAAAAAAAAAAAGTAAAAGCAAGCTGCAGCATTTTACCTTTCCCAAAAAAAGTAAAAGCAAGCTCAGCAGTTTTCATTGGTTATATTCAAATAAAAATAACATTATATATTATTTTATGGCAGAAAATACTGAATTGCTGCTTGAGTTTTTTGGAATTCCCGCCCGATGACCCGCCTTCATCATTGTGAATGGCAGCCTTTGGTCATTTATATATATTTTTTAATTAAATAATCAATCAAGTTCGTCTCGTGAGCTCTCACCGAGCTCGAACTCAAGCTCATTTAGCAAACGAGCTCGAGTTTAAGCTCGAGCTCGAGCTCGTAGCTCGATAAGCTCGACTCGCGAGCTCGTTATCGAGTCGAGTTCGAGCCGGCTCACGAGCCGGATCGGCTCACTTACACCCCTAGTGAGATCGTCCATGACTAAAGCAAAAAAAATATGGGCTTAAAACTAATCCTTGATGTAATCCAATTGAAATAGGAAAATACTTAGTCAAACCACCTTGTGTTAAAACACAAGTAACAGCTCCTACATATATATCCTAAATGACTTGAATATAAGCATTATTAACCCCTTTCTTATGCAGAACTCTCCATAGCACTTCTCTTGAAACTTTATCATATGATTTCTCTAAATCAATAAAAATCATATGTAGATCCTCCTTATTCTCTCTATAATTCTCCATCAAATCTCTCAATAATGTATAGCTTCCATATTAGACCTACCTGGCATGAATCCAAATTGATTTTGAGAAACATTAGTGTCACGCCGCTATGCTCCATAACTCTCTCCTATAGTTTTAAAGTATGACACATTAACTTAATTCCTCTATAATTCACACAATCTTATGAATCACCTTTATTCTTAAAAATAGGAATTAACACACTAATTCTCCACTCATCTAACATCTTTTTAGTCTTCAAAATAATATTAAAAAGTAAGCCAAGAAATTTCTTCATCTTCTAAGCATTTCCATACCTCTATTGGAATATTATCAGGTCCAACAGCTTTTCCAAACTTCATTTTCTTTAAAGCCTCTTTAACTTCAGTTTTACTAATACGCTGATAAAAACAAAAATCTTTATTTTCATTTAGGGTGCTAAGGCCACCAAAGTGAATCACGTTCTTATAATTTTTATTGAAAAGTTTAGCAAAATATCTCATCCGCCTTTGTTAAATATCATCTTCTAATAAAAGCACTTTTTGATCTTCATCCTTAATACACTTAACTTGAACTAAATCCTTGCTACTCCTATCTCTTTGTTTAGCTAACTTATACATATATATTTCACATTCCATAGTATCTAATATATTATATAAATCATTAAAACATAAATCTTTGCATTGCAAATTGTTTCCTTAGACTCCTTACGGGTCTCTTTATATATTTCTCAATTATTAGAATTTTTACAGCTAAACTAATTTTTATAATAAATCTTCTATTTTTTATATTTTATTGCACATTTTGATTCCACGATAACTATTTTCACTATTAGTAATTTTTTATTTTGATATTCCAAGCATATCTTTTGCAAAATTATTAATATCACTAGCTACTTTTTCCCATATAATATTAGCTTCTTCATACATAGACAAAATCTTAAGATCTAGAATATTATTCTAAAAAATATTTTTGTTAATATATTTAAATGCCCACATATAATTCTAGAACAACGATTTACTTTATTTTGTATTTTATGCCATTTCATCTTAAAGTCCAAAACTAATAAGCAATATTGGCTACATAAACTTTCACTCGGAATAACTTTACAATCTAAAGGATTTATTTTTCTTATAAGAAAAAAATCAATCTAAGTTTTATTATATCCATTCTTATAAATAATGAGATGCACGTCTCTTTTCTTAAATAAGATATTAGCAATTACAAAATCATAAGCAAAATAAAAGTCTAATATAATCTTGTCACCTTCTTTAGTCGCTCCGAAGTCATAGCCATTATGAATGCTTTTAAAATCATCTACCTCTCTACCAACATGTCCATTTAAATCTCCTCCAATAAAAATTTTTACTTTGAGATGTATATTTTACATTAATTCTTCTAAGTTATTCTAAAATTTTAATTTTGAACACATATCCAAACTACTTGATGAGTACAAGCACTTATAATATTAATAATCTTAACATCAACAACAATATTTAAAGCTATAATTCTATTAATTTTTATAGCATTATTTTTCAAATTCTTATATATAATCACACCTACACCATTTCTAGTATGACTCCTATGAGAAAACCATAATTTAAATCCTAAACTATCAATCTACTAAGCCTTCTTTTCAACTCATTTAGTTTCTTGAATGCATAGAATATTTATTTTCCTACCAATCATAATATCTATTAATTTAATTAATTTTCCTGTAAGGGAACCTATATTCCAAATTCCTGTCCTAATTTTAGTTTCATTGACTAACTTCTTTGCCCACATCCGTCAATGATGTGGGAACCCTTGCCTATTTAACATTGCACCCTGGTGCCGGTTCAACAGCCCTTGCTCACTTGTAGCTGTATTCAGGCTATACAACACGTAGGTTTCAAGGAATGTCCTAGCATTAACACAATGTATTAAAGGATTAATGTCATGATTATTTGACAAGTTTTACGCTGGTTGTCGACTACCTAACGCAACCCTCCACTTTTCTCATCCAGAACTTGGGACCTGGCAACGACTGAAAATGATCATCAATGCTAATAAAATTTTAGTAGCAGGATTGAGCTACGACTGATATCGTGCATTACACACAATTAGTTTAGGCATAAGACCTATAGATCAACTTAAGGATTTTGTCCCTAGAAGATACTTTGATGCTAAGATGAGTGAATATGAAAGTGAAGAACTAAAACCAATTTAGATGAGATCCATTTTGGATTAAAGATAAAGATTCCCAACCTTACTTTGGGGGGTATTTAGAACTTATATGAAGGGTGTTTTGGTACTTTAGCGAAGTTTCATTGTAAATTAATGAGTCATGCCACCTCTATGACTTTTGTGGGACCAAAATGTGATTTTCCTCTATATGATCCAAAGGTGAAGAATCAAATCACATCAACTTTAATATCAACGTTGGACTATCAAAACGCTAGCAATAGTAGACGGACCAATAGAGGTCAAAAGCCCCAAGCTTCATGACGGTCGACACAAACCTTGAAAGTGATGAGCCTTGTAGGAATTTGAAGGATTGATATCCATCCAACCACAATATACGAAAAACATACATACAAGAATTATGTCATCCTTGATAAAGCAATCACAATTTATCATGAGTTATCTTTAAGGTCATATCAACCTTAATAGCCATTGCGTCAAGCAATAATCCATTATACTCAACAACAAAGCATAAAACATCATAGCACAGTATAAAATAGCATAAAACAAGACAACCTGGCCAAGTTGGGCCTCAAAAGTTGTTATCTATTTTCAAAGGTTAAAAATGAATCCCATAAGATATAACTACAAATGAATACCTGTGAGGTGGATGTGTTAATGTCCTCCCTATGAATGTTCTTAAGAAATAACACTTTCCGAACTTGAAATGCAAGAGAATAATGCAGACCGACCAAATTTTTCATATCTTTCGGGCCATCTGATGGAAGAATCTTTACTGTAGAAGGATCAATAGGATTTTTTGCTACAGTTTTCACCCAATTCAACATGCCTATGAGTGACTCCCTCTTCCTCTTAAGAGAAGAGAAACTCCCGTTCGCCAACTTAGGACTCAAAGCCGTCGAACGACTAGGCCGAACACATTTGGCATTATCAAGCAGCAGCATTGGCTCCTTCTGTCTTGCACGAGTCAAGAATTGATCCATCTTTGAACATGGCGACAATGTTAAGTTTATACCATCCTCCCTCTTCCGTTTCAGGATCTCCTTGAAAAGGCTTCTAACCTCAGGCTCCGGATCACTCATCAAGACTCCCAGATTCTCTTCAGACCCCGAATAGCCTCCGATTCCCGGCCTGTTGGCCGGAACCATCTGCAAGCAACGCTCTAACATGTTGAGGTACTTGGCATATATCAGTTTCAAGGGACACCCAAGAGCCGAATCCAATCCGATTCCTTCTGCTACACCAGCCCAAGACTTGTTGGCAGTCACGGAATTGTATCCACCTCTCTCAGAAACTAGAAGGTAGAGTTTGTATAAGTCTATCGGCCTCCCTTCGCCAAGCATGGCTGGGAATGGCCGGATCTCCCGCTTGCAGTGAAGCTCCTTCAAGAAAACTGAAAGAATCTGTTCGAAGCGAGAGTCGTCGACGATGGGATCGACAGCAGAGCAAAAGCCGATGCATTGAAGCTTGCGGAGGATGTGGCAGACGTCACTGGAGGAGCACTCATCATCCGGCACCAACCATCCTTCCATTGAAGAGGGGAAGGGTTAATGGCAGCGGCGCCGGCCGCCGCCTCACGACGGAGAAGAGAGGGCGGAAGACCGCCCCCGGCAAACCCGCATGAAAGTGGGAGACTATTTATGATGGAGCCTCCAAGCCCGGCGATTTCTAAACTGCAAGAATTCCTGGGTATTTTAGATGTAAAATCAAAGAGATGGGGGTGTCCAGTTATTTTTCCCCCCTAGTCTGCCTATATTCAAGAAGGGGAAGAAACATTCATTGGGAAAACAAGAAACAAACCCTAGTCTGCCTATATTCAAGTCAATTTTATATATATGTAAAAAATTTATTTCAACATATTCTGATATAAATTATAGAAAATAATTATATCATCATAACTTAATAAAAATTACTAAGAAAAAAAATTAAAACTCTTATATTCATATTGAGATTAGTGTTCGGTACGATATTCTGATTGTACTAATCTCGATGCAAATACAAATACTGTGAAGTTCTATCCTGATATATTTTTTTTAAGTTTAAATGTTGTTGGATTTATTTTGAGATTAATGCAATACAAATTCTTAATATGCATGAATAATCTTAAAATATATCCAATATTTCCGAGCCTGATATAATTTCTATAAAGATATTCTTGCACAAGCTTTATTCTTTGTTTGTGTATCATTAAAAATTAGGTTATTCTAATCCAAAAATGATCATAATAAAGGAAGAAAATTGTGTTAGGATACCGACATGCAAAAGGCGTAAGGATGGGCTTCAAATCTGTCTGATTTATATTAAGATTAAAGTTATTCTGAATGTCACATACAACACTGGTATCATCCCACATGGGACGACTCTAAAACATATTTAATGTGTTTTGCATCAAAATATCTTGACACAATAACACAATTATTTTTCTTGATAAGTGTTAAACTCTTAAATTTATTTTTAATACATCATAAAAAAGTTGACTTTATTAGTTTCGATTTTTTATGTCTATTTGAATTGAAAACTTCCGGAATAAAATTCAGGATGATATGAATGTGATTTTAGTAAACTCATTGTCGAATTGAACATTTCTACAAGGCAAACCCATTGTCACTAAAAGTGATCCTATCTGAGTTCAAATAAGCCAATATCAAGCACTTCAAATATGATTAAAAAGTTCAATATATTAACTGGACAATCAAATTATCCTCAAATCTTGCATGCTAATAGTTAAATCAAGTGTCTTAAAGAGATCCAATGATCCCAAAATCATATAATTTTGATATTATTAAAGCAGCTAAATTCTAAAAAAAATGATATATTACGGGCTATTTGATAGTGTTCCTAACACCATCCTCAGATAGTCCTGCAATTATCATGGCTCGACTACGATGGAGTGCTCCTACTACCGTTGCCTAATTGTCATCCAAGCAAATTGTCGGACCATAGTTCTCCGACCACCATTGTTCAACTACTATTCTCTGACCATCGTCACTCGACCATTATCCTTTGACCAGTGTTGTCCGACCATGGCCCTTCGACCACTATCCTCCGACTAGGGTCCTCTGATCACTATTGCATGCCTGATTGCATTAATTTGACCATTATCACTCGAGTATGATCCTCCAACTACTATAATCTGACTATAATCTTCGACCATTATCTCCGAATTATGATCTTCAGTCCATGCATGGTCACTTGACTACGATCCTCCAATCACTTCGTTCGAATGGTCATTTGACCAACATTTCTCAACTACTTGCTTAATCTAACATCACACAATTACACAAATTCTCAACCTTTATTGCCTAGCTTAACCAACTCCCTTTGACCTCATCACCTGTAATATCAAAAAAAAAGAATAGTTCTGGGAACCGTCCAGGACGATCCAAAATGGTCTGATCGTCCTGGGACGATATGGCGATCGGCCGGGCCGATCTGAAGATTATAAAGCTGATTTCAGTCGTTTTGAAGAGAGAGAAAATCAAATTTTATAAAAATAAATATCTGAGGAGAGAGAAACTCGAGGATTTTTGGAGAAAAGTTGATTTTCGGACGACGCGGAGCCGTTTTCGTCCGAAGTGACTGTTCAGAATATTGCTGTACGCGAGGTAAGGCACATTCCGCCTTTCTCAATTTTCAGAACCGTCGAGTTTGGC